CTTTTTTTTTTTTTTTTTTTTTTTTTTAGCCGGCAGAAAAAAGCTGTTCCCCTTTTTTGGTAGCCAAGTGTCCTTAGTGCACAAGGATGAGTCATTGTTTATGAAAGAAAAAGAACTCACACGTCAAGGACAAGTTCACTTAAAAAATAAAAAAGGAATCATTTACCCTGTTGTTAAATCTTTATGATTTTGTTTCTTCGTGAAACACAAAATAAGACATTTAGAAGAATGTTCATGCTGCCCTTTCCTATACAGCTCAAGTATACAGGAAAAGAAAAAGGAAAGGAAAGGGAAGGAAGGAAAGGAAAGAAAGGAAAGGAAAGGAAAAAGGAAAGGAAAGGAAAGAAAGGAAAGGAGTATGGAACATCATGACTAGTACATAACAGTTTTCATTTTTGGTTAAAGCAACCTGAAATAACACTTAAATCATCATGCAGATAACAATATGCTGAACATCCCATGCAAATTTTCAGCTAATGTATAAGAAACATTCTGGAAATGTTAGAGCAGCACACAATGTTGCAAATGAACCTACTGGAGTGATCCGTGGCTTAGAAACGGTGGAGCAGGGGTGAGGACAAAGAGAATTAGGAAATGAGAGAGACTAAAGGACAGACCAGACAGAGGCACATTGTGAGATAGACACACACAGAGGAAGTTCAAATTAGTCAATGAAATTACAGATGGATCGATTCATATGAATAAGAATTAATATTAAAATGAGTGAACTGAATTTAATTATGCCTTAATATAGATTAAGTGAGGTTACAAAATAACAGTAAAAACTGGATTCTTTAAACTCCATTACGGATTATGTGCATTACCCATATAAAGTCAGAATTATATATTTAAAAATACAATTTTAGAATTTATTTCATTAAAATGGTGTCTTGGATTCAAAAAAGCACAGTCTATACAGGAATTAAATTGGTAAACATTACACTTTACCTGCTATGTCCACAATTCTGCATCGGTTGCACTAGATAGCGCCTCTTCTAGTTCAGGCTCCAGAGTGACATCTTCAAGGATAGGGTCCACTTTTGTCTTAGGCTGCCACACCTTTCCTACATACACACGTACAGAAACAGAGAGTGAGGGAAAAATGCCTTTATTTTTGCTAAAATTATGACTGTCCTACTGTACATGTTCATCATTTTAAATGATTTTTGAATCATGATTTTGCCCCAAAAACAAATTTCAAAATGTCAGTATACTTTTAAATAAAGGAGATAATACTTTAAGTGAAAAACAAGTTTGATGCATAAATGAGACAGAGACATGGAAAAACATTTAAGAGAGATTGGTACTGTAGAAAATGAAGACAATTAAAAGGTACTTGTGAACAGTATTATTGTGCATCATTTCAAGCTGTAATTTCTTCATGTTATGCAAAACAGGTAAAATACAATCTCTAATTTAGATTCATAAAATTGATGTCAAATTTTTATTAGTTAAAGTAGTTTTTTTTTTAAATGCCATTTCACTACAAAATGTCGAACAAAAAGCTGGAAAAGTCAGTCTAATGGCAATGTTTATAACCTTTCAGGTTAAAGAAAAGTTAAAAACTTAATTTGTGATGTACAGTACATGTCACACACTGTTTGGACATTATTAATGGACAAATTACAAACAAATGAAAGCATACAAATAAGTTCACAGGGTCAAAAGTGCCCATGGTTCTAAATGCAGGTCGCTTCTCACCTCTTTTCTCGCCAGTGTAGGGAACAAGATCATCTCGGTCTGGATGTTCTTTGGCTTGTTTCTCCAGGTGAGCTAGAAGATCATCTCTCTGGAACGTTCCGGTTGGAGATTTTTTAGTCTGATCCCTCTGTCTATATCCTGCTGGCAGTAGTGCGTTCTGAAAACAATTCATAAAACATTAGTTTTGTCATCAAACTTTCATAAAAAGCACACAAAATTTCCTGAAGAAAATGTGAGTGCTTGCAGTGGCAAAACTCGGCACTCGGTTGCTAGGGTGCGGTTACACAGTTACCATGGTGATATTTACAAACTGATTTTCCCAACTGAAACAAACGAGCCCACCTTCATGTCTATCCGATGTTCTATTGCTGAGAAATAGGTTATTCATGTGTTTGTACGGTTGCTAGGGTACTCTTTATAGTTACTAGTGTTTGCTTATACAGTTTATGGGTTGATATTTAAAGATTGTTTGACAGTCTGGGTCAAAAAAGTCCAAATCTGTGTTTCTACAGTGTTCTGGTGCTGAGATTTTGCTTGTTAATGTTGGTTGCTAGGGTCATGTCACTGGTTGCTACAGGCTATAAAGTTGTGTCCCTACTTATTGGCTACTTCATAGGCCGAGTCAAAAGAGCCCAACACCAAGTCTCTCTGTCCTTCTGATCCAAAGACATGATCTTACAAATTTTGTGCTAATGTTAAGTCATTAACAATGTTAACGTTACGGAATTTTTTCGGCCGATTAAATCGCCCGCTCGACGAACATCGTACATCCGATCACTTATAAAAGTCACAGCACACCACTCCTTAATAAACTGGTCGATTTGACACCTCATTCATGGGTGTCAAATCGAAAATGTCAAACGGTACGGGGAGTAGTTTAAGATTTGACATCATCGATTTGGGTGTCAATTCAAAATGATGTCAAACGGTCCGGGAGGAATAGTTTAAGTAACAATAACAATAGTGGCCTTGCACCACTAATAAAAGAATTTGCCATATCTTAAAATGTGATGGATTCTAATAACATCACCAAAGTACAGTCAAAGGAGCCAGTTTCCATCAATTCCATCTTTAGCAACTATTTGATACAGGTTTTATTAGATTTACGAAGTGTGTACCTAACCCAGGGGTATCTAACTTTCTGCCCACACACTGAAAAGCCAAACTCCATCAGCGCCTGAAACAGTAAGCAATAATAACATTCTTTTAAGTCAGGGCCTATCAGCCCACATCCACAAAAAAGGGCTGCCAGAGATAAAGGGGGTGGGGGGAATGTCAACGTATGCGCATGTTAAATGTGATGACAGAATCCAGAACACAGCATTTCAAAGAGAACTCAGAGGAGAAACAGAACTTTATACGGCACCTAAGTATTGTTTATTTCTAGTGCAGATAAAATTGAGCAAATGGAGACTAATTAATTCTAAAGTGACATTTAAAATCATTAAAGTAGAGATTTCCACGGCTAAATTTACAGCACAATTTAGTGTTTCGGGAAAAGGCTCGACTTTGGTGGAGAATGTTTATTTTTGTTACATTTTGAGCAGATTAAATTTTGTTCCAGCACCAGTATTTATGGTAAACTTCTGCACCTCTGGCTCAGTAAAGGAGAAGAAATTCTCTTTTCCCTCTCTCTCTGTGCTGGGACATTTATCCTACGCCTGTCTCTAAATCTGTCAAGAAGTGCTTAGATGCTGGAGTGAAACCAGATTCCTGAAGAGCAAATAAAAAAACTGTGGTCTGAGTTAGAAAAAGAACACTATCAACAGAGAAAACCACAGCCTTACGACGACAGTGGATTCCCTAAAAAACGCTAGTGCAATACAACTCTGCACACTCCAACCACTGTAAAACAACACAGTCCTGTCAAACTGAAAAAAACAAAACAAACTCAGAAACATTAAAGTCGAGACAAACAAAAAAATAAATAAATAAATAAATAAAGTGGGCTTCTCAAACAAAAATGGCATTGAAACAACAATGTCCAACACCAAACAAAACATAATGGGCTACAACACAGTCCAGTCAAACAAACACCATTACACAAACAAACAAGTTGAACAAAAACCCCTAAGAAATAATAAAGTCCAGAAAAACATACCAGACTAGGTAGCAACACAGTGCACTCAAAAAAACACATTATGCATAATAGAAAAGTCTAGCCAAACAAACATGATAAAACACAGGCCAGTCAAACAAAAACACAAAACTAAAGTTTGCTGCTTAACCCTAAAACCGTATTCTGGACAAATGTGGGCAAAATAATTTAAAAAAAAAAAATACTTCGCTTGATCTGAGAGGTGCAAGACTTGGCTACTTTTCCTAAGTTTGCCTCCTGAACACACACACATTTTTTTGACTCAATTCTACAATGTTAAGTGAGTGAAAAAAAAACTTCTAATCTTGTATTTGGGTCAAAAATGGGCACCCATAGAAATGAATGGGAAAAACTGTAATTTAGAGCATTGTAAAATAAGCCAAAATAAGACACCAGGTGACAGCAAAGTCACTTCATCTTTAGGTTTTAGCTCCAAGAACTTATTGGAATGATATTTTAATGTAGTTAAAAAAAAAAAAAAAAAAAACATAAAAATAAGAATAATTTACATAAAAAATATGGCACTTTTTGAAGTAAATAAATTCAAAAATCCCCCCAAAATAAAAAAAACACTATATATGGATAGACAAAACTTTATCAAAGACAGTGATATAACATTTATAATAAATAAAAAATTAGGATCACACCTGCGTCCTCTGTGCCCACATTTGTCCACAATTACAGGATTAAGGGCTATAATGTGAATACGGTTTGAGGGTTAAACAAAAAATGGCACTGAAAAACAATCGTCAACACCAAACAAACAAAATGGGATACAACACAGTCCAGTCAAACATATACCATCACACTCACCATCATGTACACACACACACACACACACACACAAATAATACTAGGAAACAACACAGTCAAACAAACAGTCAAACAAACCACCTTATACAATAAAAGGGGGAAAAAAACCCCAAAATAAAGTCCAGACAAACAATCACCTCTAGTAAACAACACATTCAAGACAAATAGTTCAGACAAACAAACCAGAAAACAACAGGCCTGTCAAACAAACACCATTCTATGTAAAACAGCGTAGTCCAATCAAACCAAATTATAAAACAACAGCCCAATCTAACAAATGCCACAACAAAACACTCCTTTAAAAACAGTCATAGTTTTCAGTGCCAGCTTAAAAGTACACATACAAAAATTACAGGAGAGAGGATTTGTTATAAAATAAAAACATGATATCAACCTTTTATAATGCTAAGTATTCAGAGATAACTGAACTGTGCAAGCACATTTATGAATTGTGTGTGAATTCGTGCAGTTTTTAAGGTCGAATGTGAGATGCTGAATACGAATGTCACCTTATTTTAAATGCACTTACATCAGGATCAAGCTCTTCGAGTTCATCCTCAAGTCTCCTGAGCTCCTCTTCACTGAGCTTCTGCAAGAGCTCATCCTCATCCACATCCCTGTACTTCTCCATCTCTTTACGGAACATGATGAATAAGATAAAAGGGAGGAAGAGGACAGAAGAAAAGATAGGCAGGAACAGTTGAGCCCCCCAATCACAGGACCTTGGTGAAGACAAGATAAGACACATATCCATTATTAGGCATATTCTAAACTCAAAGTTTATGATTGTCAACAGTACATTCAGACCCAAATCTGAAATATTATGGAAATAAGCTGAGCAAATTCAACAATTTCAAATCATATGGAGAGCACAGATGTACTTCATCCTGGGGACACGCTGCTAACATTGGACAATCAGAAAAAGCACAAATATTTTGTCTTAACTTTGGACAGTCTGCTCTGCTTTTTAAAACTTGAACATTTGAATGTCTCTGTGCAAAATGTTTAACTTATCCTTGCTTTTTTTAAATGCATGACAATTTTTATTAAAAAAATTGTACATTATGATCTTAAACAACAGATAGGCCTACATTAAGTCATTTATAATATATCTAATAAGAAGAAAACTAGTCAAACTGAAGGCTGCCTCTGCTGTTTGGACCATCTCCATTGTCCTTGGTAAATCCAATAGACAAGGACACTGACCAGCAAACTCCATTACACTATATAATGCAAATTTATTATTAACATACTGCCTGAGAAATCAATAAACTACTTATTATGTACACATTTCCAGACAGCTCCTCAAACAAATTGCTTTTCCACTTCAGTTATTAAAACTACAATTAATGAAGTCTGAATTGCTGTGTTGCTTCAGATACATACGTAACTTCTGACATTAAAACAATACAAAATACATTTTAAAGCGTAAACTACATTATTAATCAAATTTAATTTTCTCCGTGCTTCATCTGTCCTGTTAATATGCGTATTTGTATGATTCATGGCTCTATGCAATGATGAAAACAAAGCGTTAGTGCCGGAGTCTCTATCATTCTCACTTACTTCAGACAGCGCTTATCCCACACTAAATATAGCGCATGTGACAGCTGAATACTTTGACCAGATATGGTTTCTTTTCGGAGCCGCTATTTCACACAAATGTGCTGCAGCCTCAAGAAATGATTTCTCAAATCCAAGGTTCATAGAAGAACAACGCTTGACACGGCGTAAAAAGCCTAAATATTAAAAAGTAGTCACTGCTCGAGCCTTCTTTCAACAAAGTCCAGTAGTCGGTGGCGATTTAAGTTTCCACAAACCCGTAGTGCAGATATTCGCCCCGCCCACCGCGTAGACCTGCCAATCACTGACGCCATTCACACAGCCCACCAATCAAGCTGCAGAGACAAATGAGTCACACAAGTGTATCGGGTTGTTGTTTTCTGGTTTAATGGTTCGAACCAAATATTAACTTAGAAATTAAACAAACATGAGAACCTAAGTACAAATGTTCTTTAACAATAGGCCATTTTCCTTTCAGAAAACACACAATAAGACCACAGCAAACAAATCAAAGTGCAAAATCAAGAGTATAAACAATACAAAGCAGTAGTGTCTCACGCAAAACCAACATAAATAAATCAAAATACTCCTAAGACAAATGGCCCTATGGTAAAGACACAGTAAATGGAAGCGGTTCAGGTCACAACGAGTTAATTTGGCAATGGTATAATATTATTATTTATCACAACAGCAAAAACAGGAAGAAAGATATCCCTTTCCCATGGCACTCGGAACGATAACTAAAACTATTCGGGAACGTGTAAATAAAATGAGCTGACCAAACATACATGGAGTCAATGCTTTTGAATTCTAGATCCAGATTTTTTTTAGGTGCAAGTTTTCAGCATGTTTCTGGGAAAGGGTAGTTGTAACAGTCTCAAGCAGCACTGCTGATCTCATCTGAAAACTCCACCATAATGTTGTGGATCCAGATGTCATTGTCCTCTTGTGTGGTGTCCACCAGGTAGACAGAGATTTTGCGCTCCCAGGGCCACTCCCCCTCCTCAATCGACTCAATCTGGGCCACCAACGGCTTTTTCTCAACATGGTTCCGGAACACCATGGAAGCTTCCTCACACCAGACCCCTTGCTTGACACCTGAAAACAAGTATTTTGCATGTAAATCAGAAGCTTTAACAGACATGCATTAGTTTTAAGTTAACTTGTAATAGGGCTGGGTGATGCATCAGATACTTACAATATATTTTCTATTTTATTAATAACATAAAACATAAAAACTGACATCATTATTGTGATGATTTTAACATTTTTATTTCTTTGTTAAGGCCATTTCAGAGCAAACACAATGCGTTTATTAAATATTATTAAGTCTGAAAAATAATAAAGATATAATTTTGTTTAGCTCCAGCTTCTCTCTTACCAGCCAGCTGAGCAAAAATGCCCTGGAATGGCAGCTGCCTGAACTCATCGATGAGTGGTTGGAACTGGGAATAGTTGATCAACTCGTATTTCCCATAATCCAGTTCATACACAGACACTAAGCCATTGGTCAGGACGCTCTTTACCAAAACACGATGCCAACTACAGAGTGAAAGAAAGAAAAAGACAGTAAACTATTTAGTTGTGTTATTTAGGTGAGGAATTACAAACAGAGGTGCCATTCAGATCTTACTTGTTGTCAATCTTGGCAGCGTAGACGTGATTTTTCTGGATGTTGATTTGGGTTACTTCCTGTTTGTTGTAGTACAGGATCATCTCTCCCATCAGGACTACTAGCTTGTACAGTTCCTGCCACGGCTGCAGCACAAAGTGCCCAGGGTGACATGCAACCGACACAAACACATCCATGTTTTGCCCGACCAGTGGTAAGTCCATCTGAGGGGGCAATGTGAGGGCCTTCGACTGCGTGCGAGTTGTATTGAGGCTGTCCCCTGCCTCTGGCACGATAGGTTCGGAAACCCTGGCGATCTTGCTGAAGTAGGCATCATGTTGCCAGAATGGACATGAGGCTAGCTGGCGGTTAATGCTGCTCTGAAGGTCATGAGCTCCATTTCCACTGAAGAGGTAGACGTGCACAGTCCTGGTCTCATCAAGCTTGACTATCTAAACACACAACGAACATGCCAATAAATAGACATTGCAATATTTAGTTTTTCTGCAACATGAAAATACAGTAACTTTCTCTAGACGACCAAATAAATTTTGCTATGTGATAATTGCACTAATGCGATTTAAATATATTGTGCATCTCTAATCAAAAATTAAAAAAACAATAAATGAATGTGCAAGACCTTCATGCAACTGGGGACTTTGTTGTGGACTGTCTCTCTCAACCACAGAACGGCTTCAGGAGGCCAAACATCCCCGTCTGCATTCAGACCCTCCAGGAGGCACTTTATAGCCTACAGGGGCACAAATATATAACAATTACTTTCATTCATAAAGCAGAGTAATGCAATTACAGCACTTCCTACGTGCTAAAGTCATTTTATTATTCAAAAACAAAAAAAAACAAAAAATCATAGCTTGACTCATGACTTAAATGAGACAATGGCCTGCACAGTTGCACCAATTGATGAGCATGAATGGGGAAAAAATAACAGATGTGAGTACCTGAGGTGGTATGGTTAGGAGCTCTCTGAGGTAGATTGGTGGGATCTCCCTGAGCTCGCTAACCTCCAGAGAAGCAGGAAGTCCCAGATCCAAAAACTGGATGTCCAACACTTGACTGCCATGAAGTGTAACGATCTAAACACATTCATTTAACCAATTAAACTAATTTAATTTTCACAAGGGGTGCACAATACTGGGGAAAAAACAAAAAAAAAAAAAAAAACGGATATTGCGATATTTAGTTTTTCTAAAACATATAGTGATATAAAAACTCAGGAATTTTTACTTAATGACTTGAATGGCTCTATTTGGAAAGAGTGATTATAAATCCTAAATATTTACATCTATTTCTTCATTTTAAAAAGTTAAACTTACAAATCCATAAACTTTCTCCTTTGCCGTCAACAGGTTCGCTTCACATAACAAATCTAGTGAAATTAGTGCCACACGTGCACTCAAATGCAAACCAAACTCTCAGAAAATACAAAGATGAGGTTTGAGTGGAGCAGCATGCATTACCAATTTATATGTGCGAGTAGAGTTGTTCTGGCATTATTTGATTTTATCAATTTAAATTTTTTTCATCAATTCAGATTCTTATAGATTCCAGTAAAGTGAAAAACAATTTAATCAAACACTTAGATCTAACCTATTTATGTCTTTTGGCAAAACATTTTGTTGCAGATGATTTCCATGCAGAATCCATGCAAGAAAAGTGATCAGTAATATTATAAGAACAAAAACAATAAACAATAGTACAAACTAATACAATTATAAATAATTCTGATTAGTAACAAAAGTTATTCAGTCAAGATGAGTGATTTTTCTTTTGATTTTATGATTTGTCCAATATACTGTTGTTTGTTACACAAGTTTTTCTTTCTAATAAGTTTTCGTTCAAATAAGACTGAACTGACTGCGTTTACAAAGAGATTGACAATTTTTTGTGTATGTGCATTCAAGCATAAGCGTAACTTAAATCAGTAGGAGTCCCGCTGTGTGCACGCTTTGGATGTGTGAACAAAGAAAACAGAAAACGCATCTTCTTGCGCTTGAAAATGGTTTGAAATCACATTAAAAAAAGCACACACAGGAATCGATACCTGACCTTTAATTATCCATTTCCAGAATTGGAATCAATTTTCAATTACCAACCCTATGTGTGAGGAGAGTCAACTCCAAAACTAGAACATGACATGAGTGATGAAAGGAAAAACGTTCTCACCTCTGCTCTGGCCCATTTGCTCTTGTATTTAGCTAGACACACTTTCCCGCAGAATGGTTTGGACACCAACAGCTCCCATGTTAACTTAGAAACACATAAGAGACATGTAATGCTCCCATGATCATATAAAGCTAACAGAAGCGTAAAATAAAAGACACTGAAGGTAATTATTTTACCTGAGAGATGAAATGTGCCTCAATCTTGTCCATGATGTCTTTGAGTTTGGCCTGCCCCCGAGAAGGCAACTGACAGTAAATACTGCCATCAGAGCACACATTTGTCACACACACGTTTGTGTACACGCTGTTCACCTGAAGAGACAAGAGGCAGAAAAACACTTAATTATTATTCCTTCATTTAGTTTTTTTTTTAAATGCAATTTAATAATTGTGATTTTATTTATAATTGACCTGTAGAGGATTCTCCATGGACTTATCCTGCAGGGCTTTCAAGCATTCAGCGGTCACATTGACTTCATCGTTATGAGAAGTATCATAAAGCAATATAAGCGGTGTGTCCCCTCGCTCCAGAATCTCAGCCATTAGCGTATGACCAACAGTTAACGATTCCAGAGTTTTCTTAACTACCGCATCTGTACTGAATTGCTCCAGACCTAACAAGCAAATGAATGTGAACACAAAAAAGGAATTACATCCCATAACTCTCTAACACATACACAAAGGCTTCTGATTAATGATACCTGCAAGTTGACATATCATCCCCTGAAAAGGAAGAGTCAGGAATTGATCCCTCAGCTGGAATATCTTCTTCCTGCTGACCACCTCAAAGAACCCATGATCCACATAATAAACCTACAAAAAGGAAAGATGAATCTGAGAGCTAGATCAGTCCTATATAGACTGCCTAAGGGACTGGCTCTTGATGGCCCATAAAGTCATTAAAGAAAAGGTTTAAATATTCCATGTGCCTACAGCGGCTCAATTATAAGTTTATCAAGCGACGAGACTACTTTTTGTGCGAAAAAAACATAAATAACGACTTTATTCCACTATTCCATTACTTCCTTATGGGCGCATGCGCGAGAACTGAGACGAGGACGTTCTCATTCGTCTACTTCTTGTTACCGGCTGCTCACCGCTTAGGAGTTTTACCGCCACCTACCGTATAAAATGATGATCCATATATAAGGCGCTCCGGATTATAAGGAACATTTCGTTTTTTGAGAAGATTAAGGGCTTTTAAGTGCACCTTATAGTGCGGAAAATACGCTAATTGAAAAGCGTATGTACAGCGCGCATCTTCCTCTGCTTGTAAACAGAAAGTTTTGCGCTTCCAGCTATATCAGCACATCATCTTATACGGTAGGGGGCGGTAAAACTCCTAAGCGGTGAGCAGCCGGTAACAAGAAGTAGACGAATGAGAACGTCCTCGTCTCAGTTCTCGCGCATGCGCCCATAAGGAAGTAATGGAATAGTGGAATAAAGT